GTAAGTACTCACTAATTAACGTCCACACTTATGTGAGTCCCAGGCACTAGTCTTTTTTTTATGTTTGTTTAAACTTCAAGTTTGGAGATTTGGAGTCATTTACGATTTTATATTACGCTCACGGGGGGAGTATTTAGGTTTGATCCAAGGAAGGGAAGGTCAAGCTCAATTCCTTGGATCTAGAGAACCTCACTCGAGGGATAGTTTACGAAATTCTCAAGACGATTGTTTCGTTTGAGGGACAAGACTTGTCGACACGTCTGACAGGGAGTCTAAACTTATTGACACGTCTGACAGGGAGTCTAAACTTGCTGCCACATCTTACAGGGAGTCTAAACTTGCTGATACGTATGACAGGGAGTCTAAGCTTGCTGCCACGTCCGACAGGGAGTCTAAACTTGCTGCCACGTCTGACAGGGAGTCTAAACATGCTGCCACGTCCGACAGGGAGTCTAAACTTCCTGCCACGTCTGACAGGGAGTCTAAACATGCTGCCACGTTTGACAGGGAGTCTAAACATGCTGCCACGTCTGACAGGGAGTCTAAACATGCTGCCACGTCTGACAGGGAGTCTAAACATGCTGCCACGTTTGACAGGGAGACTAAACATGCTGCCACGTCTGACAGGGAGTCTAAACATGCTGCCACGTTTGACAGGGAGTCTAAACATGCTGCCACGTCTGACAGGGAGTCTAAACATGCTGCCACGTTTGACAGGGAGTCTAAACATGCTGCCACGTCTGACAGGGAGTCTAAACATGCTGCCACGTCTGACAGGGAGTCTAAACATGCTGCCACGTCTGACAGGGAGTCTAAACATGCTGCCACGTTTGACAGGGAGTCTAAACATGCTGCCACGTTTGACAGGGAGTCTAAACGTGCTGCCACGTTTGACAGGGAGTCTAAACATGCTGCCACGTTTGACAGGGAGTCTAAACGTGCTGCCACGTTTGACAGGGAGTCTAAATATGATGCCACGTTTGACAGGGAGTCTAAACATGCTGCCACGTTTGACAGGGAGTCTAAACGTGCTGCCACGTTTGACAGGGAGTCTAAACATGCTGCCACGTTTGACAGGGAGTCTAAACATGCTGCCACGTCTGACAGGGAGTCTAAACATGCTGCCACGTCTGACAGGGAGTTTAAACATGCTGCCACGTCTGACAGGGAGTTTAAACGTGCTGCCACGTTTGACAGGGAGTCTAAACGTGCTGCCACGTTTGACAGGGAGTCTAAACATGCTGCCACGTCTGACAGGGAGTTTAAACATTCTGCCACGTCTGACAGGGAGTTTAAACGTACTGCCACGTTTGACAGGGAGTCTAAACGTGCTGCCACGTTTGACAGGGAGTCTAAACATGCTGCCACGTTTGACAGGGAGTGTATCTCACCACCAGTGAACGGAAGGTCAAACCTCCAATATTTCTGGAGTTGAAATGACCCACACTGAATTGCGTCACCAAAACAAAATAAACGCAAATAAAAAAAACTGTGTTAGAGCGTGATTTACTCTAAATAGAGCCTTGCTCTACGCTTTCCCCGTCAACCAGGATTTAAAAAATTTACTCTGACTATATCTGTGAGTTTTTTCCAGTAGAGTCGCTCTTTTTTTTTTTTCATTGAGGTATGAAAATTCGGGAAAGTAACCACATGGTGAATATTTCCTTCAAGGCTGGTGAGAGGCTCTTGATCCAGGGAGTCGGAGCTACCCTCCCCTTCCTGGATTACAATTGAATTACCTCCTATTTCTCCCCCAAGACGCTCTATGACATATTATTTCCATATTTTGAATTTTTTCTATCATTATTATTATTATTATTATTATTATTATTATTATATCGTGAAAATTTAAATATCTTAATTTATTTACACTTTTAAACGCGATATACAATATTTTCTCAACTACTAATAAGCACAGACTTAATTAATACGAAATATGAGTATTACAACAAGGTTATACACACAGAGATGTATATATCTCAATGTATATATCCCTAGAGTTATATATATATATATATATATATATATATATATATATATATATATATATATATATATATATATATATATACTGTACATACATTGAGAGTTTGCTTGAACCCCTGCATTAGGGAACAAAGTATTCTTTACTGGTGGTTAACAGGTTACATGCAGGCTTAATGACCTTACTAATATACACAAGATTTCAACAGTAGGACTCATGAAACGGTAATGACACGATTGCAAACAAACCATGCCACGGGTGGGGTTAGAACCCGCCATCAGAGAGTCTCAAAACTCCAGACCGTCTCGTTAGCCACTGGGCCAGCTGGCTTCAATAAGATTCATCCAACTAAATATATTTCTACATCATAGGAAGGTTGGCATGGGCACCACTGTGACCACAAATGCAAGTTTTTACATACGGATCTCCACTTAGCGTGGCATTTGTGGTCAAAGTGGTGGCCTATGCTAACATTCCTATGGTGTAGAAATATACCTAGTTGAATAAGTCTTTTTGAAGCTAGCTTGCCCAGTGGCTAACGCGAAGGTCTGGAGTTTTGAGACTCTCTGATCGCGGGTTCTAACCCCGCCCGTGGTATGGTTTGTTTTTTTCGACAGTAGTTGTGTGTGTGACTAGTAATCTGTAAGTTGGTAAGTTAGCAGGGAGGTTGAACTCAAGGAACTGGTCTCGTTTTTCTAAACCTTGACCGGAAGATGCGAAATATTCTCTTTATGTAGACTCTGAACTCTTGTTTAGTGTATGTGCACTAACATAATTGTGCTCACCTAACTGTGGCTGCAGGGGTCGATTCATAGCTCCTGGGTCCGCCTCTTCACTGGTTGCTACTAGGTCCACTCTCTCTCCCAGCTCCATGATCTGTATCATACTTGTGTGTGTGTGTATGTGTGTGTGTGTGTGTGTGTGTACCCACCTAGTTGTACTCACCTAGTTGAGGTTGCGGGGGTCGAGTCCGAGCTCCTGGCCCCGCCTCTTCACTGATCGCTACTAGGTCACTCTCTCTGAACCGTGAGCTTTATCATACCTCTGCTTAAAGCTATATATGGATCCTGCCTCCACTACATCGCTTCCCAAACTATTCCACTTACTGACTACACTGTGGCTGAAGAAATACTTCCTAACATCCCTGTGATTCATCTGTGTCTTCAACTTCCAACTGCGTCCCCTTGTTACTGTGTCCAATCTCTGGAACATCCTGTCTTTGTCCACCTTGTCAATTCCTCTCAGTATTTTGTATGTCGTTATCATGTCCCCCCCTATCTCTCCTGTCCTCCAGTGTCGTCAGGTTGATTTCCCTTAACCTCTCCTCGTAGGACATACCTCTTAGGTCTGGGACTAATCTTGTTGCAAACCTTTGCACTTTCTCTAGTTTCTTTACATGCTTGGCTAGGTGTGGGTTCCAAACTGGTGCCGCATACTCCAATATGGGCCTAACGTACACGGTGTACAGGGTCCTGAACGATTCCTTATTAAGATGTCGGAATGCTGTTCTGAGGTTTGCCAGGCGCCCATATGCTGCAGTGTGTGTGTGTGTGTGTGTGTGTGTGTGTGTGTGTGTGTGTGTGCGTGTGTGTGTGTATGTGTGTATGTGTGTGTGTGTGTGTGTGTGTGTGTGTGTGTGTATGTGTGTGTGTGTGTGTGTGTGTGTGTGTGTGTGTGTGTGTGTGTGTGTGTGTGTGTATGTGTGTGTATGTGTGTGTATGTGTGTATGTGTGTGTGTGTGTTGTGTGTGTATGTGTATGTGTGGTGTGTGTGTGTGTGTGTGTGTGTGTGTGTGTGTGTGTGTGTGTGTGTGTGTGTGTGTGTGTGTGCGTATGTGTGTGTGTGTGTGTGTGTGTGTGTGTGTGTGTTCGATTTTAGAACCCAATATCCAAAACTTCCCTCAAATATTCTGATATTTTTTTCCTGGGACTGGTAAGATCCTCAATTTTTTTTGGAAAAAAAAACACTTATACACGAAAGAAAAATTAGGAATATATGGAGCTAGAGGAGCGAAAAGTAGGCAAAACAAGACGCGTCAAATATTGAGAGGCAAAGTAAGAAACAAGAACGATATAAGAGGAGTAAAGTATTCGTAATAAGGAGCTAACGATTCGTAATAAGCAGTGAGGGAGACGTGGATGGACTTTCAACTTTCCCTTCCAGATACAACACATAAAGAATAATTAACACGATAGCCAGGCACGCTATCTGACGGTGAATTATCCCATTAAAGTTGGTGCCTCAGAGGAAGGTAAAACAAACTGATGCCGTAAAATAGTTGAATTTGTTGGAAGACTTTCTAGCGATCATAAGTGTCAGCAAACATAAGTGTCAGCAAACTTAAGTGTGAGCAAACATAAGTGTCAGCAAACATAAGTGTCAGCAAACATAAGTGTGAGCAAACATAAGTGTCAGCAAACATAAGTGTCAGCAAACATAAGTGTCAGCATACATAAGTGTCAGCAAACATAAGTGTCAGCAAACTTAAGTGTCAGCAAACATAAGTGTCAGCAAACATAAGTGTCAGCAAACATAAGTGTGAGCAAACATAAGTGTCAGCAAACATAAGTGTCAGCAAACATAAGTGTCAGCAAACATAAGTGTCAGCAAACATAAGTGTCAGCAAACTTAAGTATCAGCAAACATAAGTGTCAGCAAACATAAGTGTCAGCAAACATAAGTGTCAGCAAACATAAGTGTCAGCAAACATAAGTGTTAGCAAACATAAGTGTCAGCAAACATAAGTGTCAGCAAACATAAGTGTCAGCAAACTTAAGTGTCAGCAAACATAAGTGTCAGCAAACTTAAGTGTCAGCAAACATAAGTGTCAGCAAACTTAAGTGTCAGTAAACATAAGTGTCAGCAAACATAAGTGTCAGCAAACATAAGTGTCAGCAAACATAAGTGTCAGCAAACATTAGTGTCAGCAAACATAAGTGTCAGCAAACATAAGTGTCAGCAAACATAAGTGTCAGCAAACATAAGTGTCAGCAAACATAAGTGTCAGCAAACATAA